TTTAACTTATTGTCTCGTGTAACAAATGATCCGTTTGTTCCTCGAGTTTCACCTTAATCTAAAAATACGTAATTCATAGAGTGCTCATTGTATATTGTTATGAAGTCTATCTCTCACCAAATAGATATTGAATTATCTAGAAATGCATAAGCTATTTTTATAACTCTAATTACTTGTATAAACTAGACATTAGACGTAATATGTGATGTAGATTATAATTTAAAACTATCAACAATTTCGAAATCACTTATAGTAAATTAACCACAATTTACAATTCATGATGATTATTTTCAAGTGAGACTAGACTATATTAAGAGCAAAGCATGCTTGCAATAACAGTATCTTGTTAGTTTTATACTAATTCGGTGTTATGACAATTACCAGATCTACTTTGCCCGCATTACGCTTGTTATTTCAATGATTTAATATTTTCCGCAAGTTAACCACAATACACATTGATTTGCTCTAATTAAAAGATGAGCGTTTAAAGGATTTTAGATAAATACGTTTTAATGATTTTAATCCTCTCTATGTTTTAATTTTTATCTCTTCATGTAGGTATTAAGAATAAAAAAAAATTAATAATAATAATAAATATTTTGTTTAAATTCCATTTATGACTTATATTCAAAATTAGTGACTTAATATTTCGTAAAGCTACAACTTAACTCACTACAAAAAAAAAAAGTTTAGCTATAAAAATACACCTTTACAGTTAAAAAGAGCGAAGAATATTTTAAATTTTCTCAGCAGAATCTTAAAATGTAGGAGAATTCGTTTAGGGCTTGTAAATTACTATTATAAAGCTCGTAGTTAAATTTGAATTGATGTGCCGTAAGTGACACGCTTTTTACCCGGCGCTATTTAAGTTGATCCTACATGGAGTTTAAATCCTTGAAACTTTACGTTTTATTCATTTCTATCATGTTTTTTTTACTCATCAACCAAGCTTCAAAAGTTTGTAATTTATAGAATAAATTTACTCTTTTAGATGTTCCACTCGATTAAATTTTAAATATTTTTTAGTTTAAATAAATAAATTTGTTAAAATAATTTTTGGTTTTAATTTAAAAAAAATTAAATTATTCGAAAAAAAAAAAAACAAGTATTACAATCAAATTTTTGCTTTTTTTACAATTGTTTAAAATTTTAATGATAAATTAAAAAAAAATTTTCAGGTAAATATTCAATTTTTTTATATCTTCTTAAAAAAAAAAGTAATTGAATTTTAAAGCATAATTTTTTTCAGTTACATTATTTGCAAAAGAAAATTTAATTTTGATTGATAAAATTTTATTTTAGCAATTCCAAAAATATAAAAATGTATTCCTAAAAATTTGACAATTTAATAAATTATATTTTCATTGCAAAAATATTTTCCAACAACCATCCCTTAACAGTTTAATAATTCCATTATTGTTTTATCAATCAATAATCCAGACAGTTATTAATTAATTTAATTGAATCAGTTGTCCGCTGATAGATTAATTTTTCACTAACAAGACATTAACTTATGGCGTGTCGCTTCAATCGAATTAGTGTAATTCAAAAAACAATATTATCAATTTCTAATTATTAGTTTAAAAAATAAAAATAATTGTAATTTGAAAACTTACATTTGGAGAGTAATTTCGCCGATAGATGAAAAAATTATATGAGGAAAGTAAACACAACTTAAAATATTTTTTACGACGAATTTGCCCAAAGTCGTTTTTAAATGATTGTACAATATCGCATCGACTTTGTTAAAGCTCGTATCAGGAGCTACTGACAACAAAACCAAACCCGCGTCTCCACTCAAACGCATGCGCTTCAAGGGCTTGTCTGTAGGTGTAATATTATATCTTACATTACATTTTCATCCCACCTTAATGCTGGATTAGGATAAGGCGATATGTGGACGTGGAAATGGACAAACAAACATAAAGATTGACAAGAGATTAGTGAGTGAACAAATGTCGCTATATTGTTATAGATGATTTTTGTCGTAATAGTCATTACAAATTATTTTTATTGTAATTATTCATTTATTTAACATACTTATTTATCGATTTAATATTTAGTGAAAAGTGAAAATTATTTTTTTTTTTCAATATAATTAGTGAGTTTATCGCGAATGCAGTCTGTCTGGTATAGTCATATGTTGATCAAATATACGGAAAAAAATTGTAGGAACAATTACAATTTTCACATCGTAATTAAAGAAGTCAATATACGAATTTTTACGATTTAACATCGTAAATTTAAAAATGTAAAATTATAAAAGTAAAAATATTGAAAGTCTGGTACTGGATTGTAATGTCACAATTGTAATTTTTCCTGCAATTTTTCTTTCGTATGTTGCACGGAAAAAAATTTATTGTTGCTGCAACATGACTGCCTCCTGTTGCAGCAACAGGATTTTCCTGCAGCTGCAACAGGAAAAAATCCTGTTGCAACAACAGGAAAAAATCCTGTTGTAGCAACAGGATTACTTCTGTTGTTGCGACTTGATAATAAAATATAGTTGGGTCAATTCATGTCAAATCGACCAATAGTTGGAATCGACCCCTTTCGATTTGGATAAATTTTGGTCAGAAGTTTTCTTTTATCATACAACGAACTTCTGCCAAAGGAAAAAAATAAAAAAATTATTTGCAAAAGATATATGCAAATTCAAAATTTCTCGATTTTTCCAGTTTTTCAATTTTGTTTTTGT